GTTATGCAAAAATAAATACAACTGACGTGAGTTTAATATTATCAAAGAATTTAGAACTTAAAAAAAGTTTAGAATTTTTATGTTAGTTATCGATTTAAGAATTTGTTTATACAGTTTAATTTTTTAACAAAATATGCATGTTTATAGGAAAGATACAATTTTTTTTATCATTTCAGCTGCCATAGCAACTAAACAATAACAAAGATGTTATGACTATATAATTTAGCAACGCATAATAATTGCGTTGTCATAGCAACCAGAAAAAAAATGTGACTTCAAAATCTGTACAAATTTTTGCTTTTTAATTGGTTTTTTGTAAGATTACGTATTTCAACCCATAATTAATGTAAATATGTGACCGCTTCGATACATTTTTGTATATGATTCCATTTCTATGTAAAAAGTTATATATTTKTCAGGGTCCTTTTCCTAAACTTTTTGTTAAAGATAAATCATCATCAAAATATACAGTTTGATTTCATGAATCCTTAATAATTATTTATTGTTATTAAACAGTATAAAAAAAACAGTACAAATTCTAAGATTTTAACCTTTTCATACTCAACTAAATTTAGTATTTAAATATAACTTTTTCATTATTATTTATTACTAATTTATTGTTATCAAAATCCTTTTWAGAATTATGCTTTCTCGAGGCAACGTAATAAAACATCGAAATCTGTATTTCAATCTTAAAGTTTTATTGATCATAGATTTTTTAAATTTTAGAAACTGCGTTCTGAAACCAAAATGACTTATGCAAAAAAAAAATTGCATTAATAAAACGTGGTTTAGACCCTTCTCATACTTGGCCTAATGRCCTACTATACTTAATTAACAATATATTATTTATGTTAATATTTACAGATTTAACAATATAAAAACAAAAGTAATTTAGTTTAACAGAAGAACAGTTTCATGTTTAAATGCATACTACCTATAAGTATTTATTTTTGAAAAATAATTAAATTTTTACCCTAATAAACTTGAGAAGTCTTTATACTTCAATTAGTCTGATAAGTGATAATATTATTATGATATAATATAGTTTWAAAAAAATGTTTAACTATGAATACTTGAAATGTCAAAAAAATATTTAATGGTAAATTAATTCATGCTATAATTAGAATATATTAATGGGTCCTTCAAGTCTACATTTATATACTAATAATATAATTCAGCCATTGCTAAACGTCATCAATAGACAGTGACGTAGGCAAAGATTTTCGTTAGGGGTGGGGATAAATTYGTTAATTTTTAAGATAAATTGCAATATTAGTGCTCCTCTCCATGTTAATATTATGAGCATAAAAAACTAGCAAGTTGGTACTGATCTGCTGTGCAACAGGTGTCAAGAAGGACTCTGTAACGGATGTGTAGAATATAATTTTCTAATTTTCTAATTTGATATGTAAAATTTTAAAATATAATTTCAAAAAAAAAAATTATGTTAATTTATTTACTATATTTTCTAACTGCAGCTATTAGGTATAACAACATATAAGGAAYCTTGCATTAATCTTTTTGATTCAACGATATACTTTATAGGCATATTATACAAGAAAAAACTAAAAAATGAAAATGTCTATAGTAAGAAGGTAAAAAAGTGTTGACTTACGGTTATAAGTTTTTTGGATTACAACAAATTAAAAAATTGATCTAAGAGATTTTGTTAATTTACGGGATAATATCCGATGTCTAACTTCTAACTTTTAAAATTATTTTGACTTAAAGGTCACCCTTTTTTTTTTAATTTTCTACTTTGAAAAATTTTGTATTTGATTTTAATACAAGTGGTACAGTTTTAAGATACTGTTCTGGTAATATGTTTTGTCTTAACGTACA